CGTATAGGTGATTCACTTTGTTATACAGCAGAAACTAACACACCATTGTAAAGCAATTATACTCCAATAAGATGTTAACAGAATAAAAAATAAATTAAAAATAAAAGAGATATTTAGTGTACTGGGCATGCTAATCAAAAGAAAGCTGGTGGGCTTCCCTGGTGGTGCAATGGTTGAGAGTCCGCCTGCCGATGCAGGGGACACGGGTTCGTGCCCTGGTCTGGGAAGAACCCACATGCCGCAGAGCGGCTAGGCCCGTGAGCCATGGCCGCTGAGCCTGCGCATCCGGAGCCTGTGCTCTGCAACGGGAGAGGCCACAACAGTGAGAGGCCCACGTACTGCAAAAAAAAAAAAAAATCTGGTATAGATATATTAATATACAACAAAACAAACTTTGAAGCAAAAAAGCATTACTAGAAAAAAAAAGTTTACCTATATAATAATAAAAGATTCAATTTCCCAGGTAGACAGAACATTTTAATATATATGCATCTAAGAACAAAAGCTTCAAAACACTGACCGAACTACAGGGGGGAAATTTTAAATCCATGATCAAAGCAGAGATTTTTAACATCTTCCAGTAATTAAGATCAAGCAGTCAAATCAGAAAAGTCAAAAAGATTTTAGTAAAACATAATGAGCTTGATCTAGATAATACAGAAATCAGACACATGATTTTCAAGCACTCATGGAATATTTAGAAAAACATACAAATATCAACAAATACAAAGATTCTAGAAAATCCCTCACTCCCTGACCCATAATCCCATTCAGCTAAATATCTTTATTATTAAAACAGACATTCATTTACGAATTTAAAAGGATACTTCTCATTAATCTACCACAGAAATTAGAAAACACAGAGATCTGATAATGAAAATAGTATATATCAGAACACATGTAATACAAAAATAGAAAATCACGAAAAAGTATATTCTTCAATGCTTACATAAGAAAGAAAAAAGTCTGAAAATAAATGGCCTACATTAGAAAAAGAAAAATACAACTGCCTAAAGTAGAAAGAAGAAAATAATAAACCACGTAATAGCATGAAATAATGACACAGAAAACAAAGATACACAGAGAGGACCAATAAAGCCAAAGTCCCTTGAGAAGACCAATAAAAGTGACAAAATTCTGGAAAAGGAAAAATTCTGGAATCTCTGGGCATGGAGGCCTGGCATCAAGTATTTTGCAGACTCATCTAGAAAGTTTTTACTTTGGCACCAGAGTCGAGAGATTATCACCCTTCCTTTTTCTTAGTAATGTTACATCATGTAAAAATCGTAAACGATCAAATTATCTGTACGTAATTTAGTCTACTCCTCCTTTAATAAATACTTATTGAATTGCTGGGGCTACCATGATAAATACATGTGATTCTTACTTTCATGGTGCTTAGAGTCCAGAAGATAAAATATTAAGCAAAGAAAGAACAAACTGATTTCATCACTATTCAAAATAGGAAATTAAAAGATACTGTCTAAAAATAGAAAGGCTTAAGAATACTACTGAAAGGCACAACAATAAAGGTAACACAAGATAAAAAACACAAGCTATCTAAACTATTAAACTCCTATGACCGCTTTCATGCTACAACAGCAGAGTTGAGTAGCTATGACAGAGAACTCATCATATGGCCTGCAAATCCTAAAATATTTACTTTCTGGCTCTTTAAGAAAAAGACTGCTGGCCCCAGAACTATGTATGTTAAGGAGAAATATATTATATGTCACTGTATCATCTCAAGAGAAGCAGAAAATGACTGATAAAATTCTATACTCATTCGTGATTTAAAGAAAATAACAGTAATAACTCTTGGTAAATTAGGACAGAAAAGTAGATCTTTCACCTGGTGAAGGGTACAAAACCTACAACAAATAACATTTTAATAGTGAAATATTACATCCATTCCCATTCAAGTCAAAAACAAGACAAGAATGCCTGCTATCTTCCCAACTCTTAAATACAATATCTGAGGTCCTAACCAGTACAGTAGGTCATGAAAAAGAGGTATAAGGATTGCAAAAATAAGAGTCAAAATGGCCTTTCTTTAAAAATAATGCAGTTCCATAGAATGTACACCACCAAGAATGAACCCTAATGTAAACCATAGACTTTGAGTGATTATGATGTGTCAGTGTAGGTCCATCAGTTGTAATGGACGTGCCACTCTGGTGTGGGTGCTAATAGTGGGGGAGACAATGCATGTGCCAGGGCAGGGGGTATATATGAGATAGCTCTGTTCCTTCCTCTTTCATTTGGCTATGAACCTAAAACTGCTCTAAACAAATAAAGTCTTTTTAAAAAATGATGTACATGTAGTTACCTACCTAAGCAGAAGTCTAAACTAACCATTAAGACTAATGAAAGAGTGGAGAAAGATCATTGGATTCAAAACTGACATACTAAAATCAACCCAATACCTAGATGACAGGGCCAAGTCATAAGGCTGGCAAATGGTGATTTCTGCATCCTCAGAAAGTAATTATAACGCAGATTTGGGGTGATGCTGGAAATGAGAGTGGGGCTTCCCACAGCAGATACCATTGCCACCAATGCAATACCTCCTGTGAAGAAATAGCGGAGGCTCAAGAAGCCATACCCACCAAACATCTCCCAGACTGTTCATATCCTTGAGTTTGTTACAGAGAATGGTAATTTATATGAAGTTAGTGTGTCAGTGATAACATTCACTAAGTAGTAAACCCAATTCTTTGCAGAATACCCAATTTCTACTTCAAATATCTACCCCAGTCATGCTCTCTCACATGCCCATGTGAGTGCACCCCAGGTAATTCTTAGTATGAGGAATTATTATTTATTTGGTTTCCATTTTTGTCGGTTTCCCTTTTAAAATGTAAGTGGTATGAGTGAAGTCAGGGACTGTGTTTTGTTCTCCCCTATAATCCTAGCACCTAGAATGGTGCCCGGAATGTAACAGATTCTCAGTAAATGTGTTAAAAATTAAATGAAAAGATGGTCCTTTTGCTGAGTCTGGAAGGGTAGGCAGGAACAACAAGCCAGATGAAGGTGAAGGCAACCCCATAAGCAACAGCACAGGGATATGGAAAACACGATCTATCTTGGGGAAAGCCAGTTCAGAACTGCTGGGAAATGACACACAAGGCATGTGATGGAAACTGGGAACCAAGAAAAAGAGTCCAGAAGGGCCTCATCCGGCACACTGCAGAGCTTGGGCTTTCTCAGGACCGTGATGACGAGCCCTGAGGGATTTAAGAAGGAGTAACCTAGAATAAATCTGGGTTCAATCTGGCAGCATCAGAGATCACCGATTTGAGAGTGTCAAGACTGAAGGAAAGGATCAGAAACCAACTGTTTTAGTTTAGAAAAGTAACAAGGATAAAAATATTAATAATAAACACAGCTTAATGCCACTGAACTGCATATTTATAAATAGTTAAAATAAATATGATTTATGTATATTTTACCACAATAAAAAAAAAGAGGAATTAAAAAAAAAACACAGCTAGCCACATTAAATAACTACTTATCTGGGAAAGGAATGTGCTAAGTGCTTTAGTCACACTATCTCATTTAATCTTCATGATAGTTCTATGAAGTAGGTACAATTCCCATTTTATGGATGAAGAAACTGTAGCACAGAGAGAGAAGGTAACTTGCCCAAGGTTATACAGCCAGGAAGTGAGGGAGCCTAGATCCAAACCCAGGCTGTCTGACTGCAGAGCCTGGATTCAACACCATCATGGTATGAGGAACAGACAGATTCAAGACTCACTTTTGAGGGAACACTCAGCTGCACTTTGCCATTTCCTTGGAGGTGAAAGGTGAGGTGGAGAGAAGCGACTCCAAGCTGTCTGGCTTAGATGACTAGCAGTTACCGACTCAGAGCTACAAAAGTCCTTAAAGGTCACCCAGACCGACTGCCTAACCAATGCCAAAAATTTCTTTTCCTCCTTTAACGAACAGTTATCTAGGCTATGCCTGGCAGGACAACATAGGTCTGAGTTGAGTCAAACTCTGCCTCCCATTACTAAGACTCTAAAGACTTAAAATAGCTTGATAGTTGGAAGGGTCTTCTGAGACTTGATCTGCTGATTTTCACTCTGTGGTAGGTAGAATTCTAGAATTCTGCAACTACCTCAGGGGCCATCTCAAGCTGACTCCTACTTCCCCCACACCCCCACACACCCCCCACACCCCCCACACCCCCCGGCTTCAGCCAAGCAGAACGAATTTTATGACACTCATGTTGAAGGTCCTTGTAAGGAGCACAGTGCTTTTAAAAGGTTTCACAATCATTGGTACAAACTCATAACCTTATTTCCTGGCTAAGGAATTTGAGGTCCACCAAGTGTGAATGCACTGGTCAAGGTCACACAGACAAGCAATCGCAAAACAAAACAATCCTTCAAATACTGGGAACTGCCTACTCTTCCTGGCCATCTTTTTCTTTGAGTTTCATATAAGAAACATATAAGAATATAGGAATATATGGGAATAAATAGGCATACATCAACGTAAGAATTTTTTAACAGAAGATTTCAAAGGGTATATAGTAAAGTAATATACCAAAGTACACATTCCTGCTTTTACTTTTTCCTACAGCTCTAAGTGTTTCCTAACACTTAGTCCTCGCTACCTTAGAATCTTTATCTAGTATAAGGTAATTTACACAATATAATGTATTAATTATCTATCACCACCTGCAATCTCATGGTAACAATGGAGTTATAGCAAGAAGTCTAAATTGACTGGCATGCCTTAAACTCACAGAAATTTTAGGTAACATTTCTGCCTTTTTATTTATGACCTTGAAGAAAGCAATTCAAGTCAATTCAATTAAAATATATGCTCTGGTTTGGTGTCCTCCAACTGCACGATTCTTTAACTCCCATTCTTCCCTTTCTAAAGCCTGTAACATAAAACTTATGATTAATGCTATGACTTGATCGGGGGGAAAAAAAAAAAACATTCCCACACATACAAACAGGATTCCAGAAGCACTCAGGACTCACGCATTTCTATGAACAGCTGCCTCTTCTCTGCCATGGTCTTCCGCTTGTTCCCACTTTCCTCAATCATCCTAGAGACAAAGAAGGATACAATAAACCAATGTGTAATTTGACAATTCCACCAAGTGCTTATCAGTCTGTTGTGAAGAGGTACAAGAAACCAAGCTGTGTATGCATACATTAAAAGGATATCAGTAAAAATAAAGTAGAAGCCTGATACAGAAAAAAACAAACTGTTGTCCCTTTATCTGATAGCTTCTAAAATATTATAAAGTCAATACTTAAATGAGCTCATACACTTGCTTCCTGTGCTGAAAATATGGGGCCACGTCTTATTTCTAACTTTGTTTTCTCTGCACAGTCCTGGATTAGTTGAGACATTTTCCCCATATTCCTACTGCTTTACATAGATAAACATGTTACTAAAGATGATTTAGGTAATAATTATAATGAAAGGCTATAATAAAGAACATCAGGATAATTAGCTTATACATAAAAAGTATAAATAGAATCTTTTATTTTTATATTAAAAAGTATTAAACAAAAAAGTATTCATCCACAAACTCAAAGAACTCCTAAATGTAAGTTTTTAATCACATGACTTTGGCTATGCCAGTCACTCTGTTTAAGAAAAAACTCTTTCCATGCATTATCTCATTTAATCCTCCCAACAACTCTGGGTGCTGGCATTATTATTATCCCCATTTTACAGATTAGGAAACAGATGCCTAGAAAAGAACACTAACTTGCTCAAGGACACACAACTCAGAAGCGGTAGAGTAGAATCCCAACCCTTTCATTAAACTTCTTTCACAATTTTTGCCTCTAGATGCGTATTTTCAAATCTTTATGCTTAAAAAGCTAGAACACAATAGCCCATTGCATGGACCCTACTGATGCAAAATCTGTGACATCTCAGCCAAACTTCGCCTTACTCTATGAAGAAAAAAATATCTAAACAAATAGCATAAGCTAAATATCCCTAAGAAGATTAAACTGCTGTAAATCATGGAGTGATTCATATAACATTGTCGAATACGTTAGAATCACGAATTAAATGGTGACTACACAAATTACGTATCTATTAAAGCAAAGTGCCTGCTGAAAGTTTAGTTATAAATATATCCTAAAGAAAATTTATAATGTAAATATATTCCTTACCATTCTGCAATTAATATTTTGATCATTAAAACTATCCCTTTCCGGGCTTCCCTGGTGGCGCAGTGGTTGAGAGTCCGCCTGCCGATGCAGGGGACATGGGTTCGTGCCCCGGTCTGGGAAGTTCCCACATGCCGCGGAGCGGCTGGGCCCGTGAGCCATGGCCGCTGAGCCTGCGCGTCCGGAGCCTGTGCTCCGCAACGGGAGAGGGCACAACAGCGAGAGGCCCGTGTACGGCCAAAAAAACACTATCCCTTTCCTAGATCACTGAAATGTTACCAAATAGGCTTCAATGTACATGATGGTTACCTAACAATTTGCCCCCAAGAGGAAACAGTTTTAAACGGAAAGAAAGTAAGCCAAAGAAAAAGCAACCAGAAACAGCAAACATCTAATGAAATCTAGGTCCTAGAGAAAAAAACAAGAGTTGGTACCAGGAACCTATAATTATAATGAAACGAAGATATTCAAAAGCCTCCTCCCTGTCCCCAAACTTGGTCTCCCACTGGGTAATACAAATTTTAAATGCTAAACACAGATTAAAACAGAGAATCATAATGTCCTTTATAATATATATCATTTATTATATACTTCTACTTTTGCTATTTCTTTAAATCACTTTTTCTCAGAGTAGAATTATGAATTCCTGGAGATCCCTAAGTTTTTCATTACAGTTTTCTAAATTTTGTCTTTATTTCCAGATTAATCTTCAAAAAAATTAATACAAACATATTTTAGATCATCTGGATGACCACGAAACTACAAGTACTGCCGACGCCACTTCAGAGCCCACATCTGCATGTGTGATTACTGTGGCATTGGAAGCAAGAGAGCACGTAAAGCAGGCGTCAGCAAGCTAGAGAAACTATAGTACCTGGACCAGATCTGACCTGCCACCTGTTTTTGCAAATAAAGTTTTACTGGAACACAGCCAAACCTATTCATTTATGTATTGTCTAAGGATGCTCTCATGCTACAACGGCAAGAGTCGAGTGTTTTCAACAGAGAGCATCTGGCATGCAACGTCTAAAATAATTACCATCTGGTCCTGTAAGTAAAAGCATGCCAACCCAACCTAAAGCAATAGTAATTAATATTGCATTACTACACGTCTGGCTTTCCCATGGTGCCTGATAAGAAATCCTTTATTAGCTACTTTCTTCTCTGCCTTACTTCTCCACTCTTCTACCAGTATTTCCTAGGATCTAAAAAAAAAAAATTTTTTTTTAATTTGCACTTGAGCCCTTATAGAGCATTTGCTTCTAGGGTAACCCAAAATAAGACAGATTTGATCCTGTAAAACAGACCTTCAAGATGAATTCTGTAAGTGGATCACTCGCCAACAGATGACAAGGATCCCAGTGCTGGTAGTAAGTAGCTTGGTGAGAACCCCTGGTGTGCTGCTGCATGGATAGTACTAAGACTCATGAAGTGGTGGAGCTAGTAAGGGACACAGGTAGAAGAAGATAATTGGCTTATACAATAGCTTTAGCATTTGAGAGAGACAGGAGGACTGGGAATTTTAAAGACAATTAAATGGTTGAGCTTTTGTTAAGTAGGACGGATGCACAGAAGAAAGAAAATGTCAAGGCTTAAATCAGCCAAGTACCAACTCAGAGCATGCTATGAGAGCCAGAGACCTCCATGGCAGCACTTTTTAAGGAACCCTCAGCTCCCACAACTTGAGAGCAGATTGTGCTAAAAATCAGGCTCAAATTCTGTTTATGAAAGTAGGCAGCTTAACAAAGAAGACTGAATTCATAGTCCAGCCAAGATTCCCCTGAACCCTATAGGCCTGAAGAAGTGGCTCTCTGCCCTTGCTACAAGGGCAGTCTCCTCTGCCTAAAGACTATGCAAAGTTCTCATCTGAGATGCATGCCTAGAAAGATGCTGACCCTCCTCAGGATCTGTTTCTACCTCCCTCACTGCTTCTACGCTAATAACTAGGGTCAAGTCTTACATCATCAGAAAGGGAAGGTACTGTCCCTGCTTTGGATGGAAAAGGGCTGATTCATCAAAACAGCTGCTGGACCTGATGATATGCACTAACAGGAACTGGAAGAACATACCTGGGAATGGACCTTGAGAGTGCTGAACTTGAGCCAAGTGTAAAGTAAGACAAAGTTTGTTGCCATGGCGGTACTCAACCCATGACCCAGGATTTAATATTCTGAAAAGGACACCTGGCGCCAGTCCTAATATGCCACTAGACTGGCTCATTTAAGCTGGGCATGCGGGTTTTGGTGGCCTAGAGAAAATGAACTGGAGATGCTGGAACTGCTGAGCAAGTATTAAGGAAACAGTTAATAGGGTGTTCCCCTTCCCCATATCTCCTGGCCTTTACTGAATCCTTCTATACTGACTGACAGCATCTGCATTTTGTTTGTTTGTCTGTTTAAACAGAGAAACGAGGCTTTCTCTGACCTCTGAAGTCCATTTTGTTCCTTGCATGTCAGGCCTGAAATGCTATAAATTTACCACTCCCTAGAAACAGTCTTAACCAATGATTGACTTAGTTGGTATATACTCTACCTACCTTGCCTCCTAAAAGGGTATAAATCTGAGGACATGTTTTACACAGGCTCCTAGAGTTCCCCAGTGGGAATAAGCTTCTGTCACCCACAGTGGTAACTTGCTTGATAACAAAACCCTTATCTGCTAACTTCCCTTCCCCATTTCACCTCCCGGTCCCCTGCTGATGTTTGCAGGGATAACCTCCAAAACAAAATACTTGCACGCAAATCCTTGTCTGAGAGTCAGCTTCTGATAGAACTCAAACTAAAATATTAAGTCTTTTCATTTCAACCAAGCTTATAGTTCAGATTTCATAAAATCCAAATGTATGGGGTACACATAAATTAAGATTACTATAAATGATTTCCCCAGGCCTTAGCATGACTCCATTCCAGTGCTCCATGGATCCTCATACCTCCATCTTTGTAATTATGATTTTAACAGTCCACACTCAACAAAGATCTGACCCTACTACCACACCTGATTACGTCCTTGTCTTCCTGATATAACTTTAAAGATCAACAGTTACATGAATGTAAACACATGTCTCTTCTTCCTTCCACTTGGACTCCTGGCACTTTGCCTTTTCTGAGCCTCATAATCTAGAAGTAACCAACACCTCCTTATCATTCACTTCACATACTAACTCTGATTTCAAACACTGCCATTTCCTTCCTCATAATCACTCTCACATCCACCCTTTTTTCCCATTTCAACTGCCAAAAATCTTTGTCCACATGAATGTACAAATAAAATTCTCTGACACCTAGATCTCAGGACTCTGCAACCCCTTCTTCCTGTGGTTCATCCTGTGAAATCTACTAGGTACATTTATTCAAACGTGTTTGATCTTCACAGGATCCTGATCACCCTACTTAGGGGCTTCATTCCACCCAATTAAAAATAATCAGAACACAAAGTGAAATAAGCCAGACAGAGAAAAGACAAATACTATGTAATCTCACTCATATGTGGAATCTAATAATACCAAAAAAAGTCAAACTCATCATAGAAGCAGAGTAGATTGGTAGCTGCCAGGGGCTGGGGGGTGGGAGAAACGGGGAAATACAAAGCATACAAACTTTCAGTTACAAGATGAATAAATCCTGGGGATCAAATGCACAGCATGGTGACTGTAGTTGATAATACTCTACTGTATATCTGAAATTTGCTAAGAGAGTAGATCTTAAACCACCACCGCCACACACAAAAAAGAATGAGCTAATTAACTTAATTGCAGTAATCACTGCACAATGTATACATTTATCAAATTATATTGTACACTTTAAACATATACAATTTTATTTGTCATTATAGCTCAAAAAAGGTGGGGGAAAATTTTAACAATATATTTGAACACCTTTCCATGTCACTGAATACTCTTCAAAACCACAATTTT